CACTTCGCTTAATACTTCCTATGGATTTTGGATCCTTAGAGAGTACTCTGCGGAATCTGGCCGCTTCGTTGACTCCTTCGATCGACTCGCTATAGCAGACCCAAGACTCACGTTTAGCTTTCTTGATTTCGCCCTTGTACCTATTGAATTGTCTTTTATAGACATCCCAATCTGTACTGAGCTTTGTCTTACTAGCTCTATTATAAGCTTTCCTTGCAGCCTTCCGCAAGGTTGCAAGGTCCTGTGACCACCATACCGGTTGAGATTTCTTCCCAGGGTATGTCAGGGGACAAGATGCCTCATAGCTCTTCAGAAGAGTGGCCGTGACATTTTTCACAGCTAATTCAACATCCTCAACCGTTTTGAGATCATTACGATCCCGAAAAGAGGCTGCTGTTTTAGCTTTGAATTTGTCCCAGTTCGTCTTCCGAGGATTCCTATAAGGTTTCTGTTTAACTCTAGAGGTAGGAATCTGGAAGGATATGAGTCTATGATCCGAAAAGGAACATTTCTCAGACACCTCCCAGTTTACGACCCCAGAGTCGTCCATATTTGTGAGGGTTATATCAATGACTTCACCTCTCACCCTATTTACAAAAGTTGGTGTATTGCCTCTATTACAAATTCTAAGATTATAGCTAAGTATAAACTCGAAGATGGACTCACCTCTTGTGTTTGTGTTGCTGCTTCCCCAATAGAAGTGATGTGCGTTGGCGTCACATCCCAAGACGAGGTCACCAACTCTACTCATCTCCTCCAATAGGCGGCATACAGCAGTGCCGGGTGGGTCAGGAGCTTCGTAGGGAAGATAGACGGCAGAGACTATCAGTGGCTTCGTGGTACCTCTGTCTAGTCTTGCTGTCGTCATATCTCCATTGCTGAAATTAGAAAGAAGCATTAAATTTAACTCCTTTTTAGCAAGAATACACGTTCTCACCTTCTCTCCATTGGAGGTAGACAAAAGCGTGTATTTGGTGTCGCCCAGTCCAGTCACCTTACCTTTGTACAGGTAAGGTTCCTGGATGAGCGCCACGTCGATGTTTGAGGAAGAAAGGGTGAGTAGCAGTTCAGCAGCTGCTGCTTTACAGTGATGCAGATTTATCTGGATCACGTTAAGCGCTTGCTGCTGCCTGCCTATTGTTTTGGAGTGGTGAGACGGAAACAAAGTTTCCCCATTCCATAAACAAGCTCACCCTTGTTCTTCCTCAAGTACTCCTCTCCCGCAGAATCGGTAGCGAACTTCGCGACTACACCGCCGTTCCTTTCAAACGAGGCGAGGATTCTCCACCTCCTCGTCTGAAGGCCGTCGTTCTGCTTCTCCAATAACCTCAGTGTCTTCTCCAGCCCCTTGAAAGGTTTTGGGATAAACACCGAGGTTACCATACCGCTCGGTATCTCTTGAACCGCTACGGCCGCCAGACGACCACCCTCCCAAAGGGGGTCCAGGCTGTTGATTGTCTTCTTAAGAAAATCTGAAGTCTTCTTAGTGCGACAATCAACAACCTTTACTCCTTTGTAAGAGGAGGTCAGGCCAAACCGCAGGCTCTCTCGATCAACCTCGTCGGACAGGAAGAGGTCCTTCAGATAGCTGTCGACCAGCTCCCATCTCTCCTCACTGATAAACCCGTCAGGGTCAGCTCGGTCGATGATCGCTACCCGCAGATCTTCCGGAACCTCTTTTGGATCAGCAGAGTCGCTTTGCTTAGTTGTAGGTGTCCGGGCTACCTGCTTCGAGACAGCGTGTTTGGTTTTCACCCCACAATCGCTGCTCTTGGCAGGTTTCTCCTTCGACGCTACCACCGAAGCAAAGGAAGCAGAGCTCTGTACGGCCGACGACTGCGTGGGCCTCTTTGCAGCAGGTTGTTGCTCCTCCGAGGACCTCATTCTCTTGACAGCCGTGGGCTGTGGCCGAGATTTGGCACCCGGGGTAGCAGCTACCACAGAGGTATGCCCAGCAGACGCAGGCACCTGCTTCGCGTCCGCTACCTTCTGCTTAACCACTGACGACTGCCCAATTGTCACCGCCTTGGCTGTCAGCTTTGGCAATTCGGCAGAAGGTGGATTGACAGAGGGCGGTTGTGCCTTATCGGTCTTCTTGGAGGCCTTTTTGCGGGCTCTCTTTCGGGCCGACTTCGACAGTCCCCTGCCTTCTGTCTTTGTGGATTCTGATGTCTGAGACGTCTCAGTACTCAGTTTACCCTTTGGGGGTGCTGAGGGCTTAGACGTCTCAGGCATCAGCTTCCTGGATGTACCGGGGCCATCAGCAGGTTTCTCCTTCTTAGAAGGGACTACCGCCGTGGTCTTAGTACTGGGTCGGGGGATCCTGTCAATCAAGAAGTCCCTCTCAATGTCATCAGGATAGTTCCTAGAGAACTTCCTAATGAGTTTGAGGTTCCTCTTGATTAACAGGAACTCCTTACCCGTGATGGAGTCGCTGTCCCGTCCAATGTACCGTTTGCAGAAATTGACTGCTCTCCGATACATTTTCTTGGCAGCGATCTCCTTAGCGTTAGCTTGTCTATCAGATAATGGTACCGATGAATCATCCATCTTAACGATGGGAGCCTCATCGGTGCCAGCATCTGCTTCGACAGCCAACTGCCTTAGAAGCCTCGCGACGTCACTGCAGGCCGTGGAGGTTGAGTCAACGTCTTCAACCTCGCCAGGGTTTGCCTCCTTAGTCATCCGAGGGGACCCTCCTTGCTTCAGGGGAGACATCATGGTTTCTACCGTACTTATCACCGTGGTTCTAATAACGGTGGTTTCCATAATGTCATCCTCGTCCGACAAGAGAGAGTCATCCCAGAGCTGATTTGGGATGCTCTCCTGACTGAGGCGGAAGGAGCCGGTTTCCTCTAGAAGGTCGAGGAGAAGATTCGACTGCCTCTCCAGGCTCGCATTTACGTCATCGAGAGATGGACAGGTGGCTAAAGATAGGTCCAGGGGAATTGCTTGGGTCGTCAACACTTTGGGGGAATCATTGATGTCTGACCTTGTAGAGTTCGAGACTGAGGGTGCCAAGGCAGCCACACCAACATCAGTCGAAGGTTCGCATTCATTGTTGTTTTGTTTTTTGGGGGGGGGGTGTATTAAAAATTGGCTCCATAAAAAGTGCTGTTAGTGAGGATTTGAGGTCGACCATGGCATAGCCTCTTACCATGGAAAGGACTTGGCAACTAAGCCTGAAACACTTGTTGAGGCGCCCAGGTATCAACAAGGCTCCGTTCTAATACAGTCGGTACCCTGACTGCAAACCGTGGAACGCTGATAGGCACGAGGTCGCATGACACCCCAGCGTTAGGGGAGACACTTTAAGAAGGTAGTGTCCCAAACCTTGAGATGGATATATGGGAGGGGCGCCATTCTCGCCTCCACGACTGTTTATTGGTTATTAACAGTTACCCAACGCCTCCACCTTATGGTGGAGGGTATAAAAACATTTCAAAATTTAGCATTATTTTTGGCATTTTAATTTATTTTGTAGAATTTTCTAGCATTATTTTAATGCAGATTTAGCTGCAACCTTATTTTGATCTGGTCACACTGCTTTTGACTGCGATGTTTTTTTTTCAAATGGTTTAATATGACTACGAAATTGATTGTAATTTTCACCACCTTAATTTTTGTTTTTATGTTTTAAATAAATAAATGCGTTTTTGGCATGGCATAATTACAGAAGGTTGTCTCATTTGAGATGTTAATAATGACAAGCCTTTTTAATTGGAACTCATCTATCAATTTCAAATTGTTTGAAAAATGAATATTCCGTAGAGCAGGTTTACAGTCGACGTTCTAATCTAACAGAGTTTATAGTCCACGTTCTAATTTCGTTAAGTGCCGCTTGACTATCGAAATTGTGCCGATAACGAGTCACTAGTACACAGTTTTTTGACTAACTCCGCTACTTTCAGGATTGGTAAAATCTCTGCTATAAAAACGCTACAATTATTATTTAGTTTGTAGAAAATGCCCGCACCGGTGCCCATACCTCATGTATATATTGACATATATATCAGGACACGCTGCTTGGTATTGTTATCCAAAAGTCATTAAAATTAAATGAAATATAAGCAATTGAACTTCTGTTGTGGTAGAGTGTGTAATCTCCTGTTGTGTTTAGGACATTTGGCTAATAGTTCTGTAGTATTCCGGAAAGTGTGGCTAGGTTTCCCAGCATTGGGAATAAATGCCACCTTTACTTTTCTCCACAGAATTGGTATGAGCAATACCAAGGATATAAAAATATCTTTTGATCTAATCGCAAAACCTCCTTTTAACTAAAAACACCATTAATGTTTTTTCAAAAAAATATTTTAAGATATATTTATTGTTTTTTGTTATTCCAAAAACATCTAAAAACTAAACTTAGATTTAAATCTTTGGATTCAAAAATTATATGATTAACATGTTAAACTTGTAATAAGTACAAATGGCTTACAGAATATAATTACTAAAACAAATATACATTAGAAGAATTGTGAAGAGATTCTAAATGACTTTTCAAAATCCTTAATTTTATGACTCATTGTATTATCCGGATATGTTTGTTTAGATTTTGTTTTTTTTGCTGACTTTTGCAATGAAATGAAAAATCTAGAACAGCCACATTTTTAATACTTCTAAAAAAATTAATGATATATTGGACAGTTCCTGTAATGTGTATGGGATTCAGCCTTACATTGGATACTGTGATAAGGGTCCGTTAAAATTAAATGGAAATTGTTTAACATAGATTATTATTGGACAGATGAGTTATTTTTTGATTACTAATATTTATAGTTTACTTATAATTTATTTATTGGTTAGATTAGGTATATATACTATAATTTCAACTTTTAAAGTATTAACGGACCCAAATCATGTAAAATTTTAAAACTTTTGAGTTTTAAATTTCAATTCAGTATCTCACTTTTATTAAATGTTATTACAATACTAGGTGTGTTGTTAATATTTACAAAGGAGGGTGAGAAAGAAAATATGTGTATGTGTTGTATGTAACCTTATATGTAACGCATAAATATAGAATAGTTTAAAAGTAATAAGTAACTTAAAATGTAATATTTCAGTGATGTGCTTGTGATGGTTGCTGACTTAGAGCTTAAGGGTGCACTGTCCATTAACATTTGATAGGGACACAGACTGGGTGGCTTGACAAATGTGGTAAAGTTCGGATAACGTATAATTTCCGAGGGCTGTAAAAAACACATGGAAACAAAAATTAATATATTGAAAGCGGGAGAATGAAACCAAAATACTAACAATAGATATAGCATCATTGGAAACCCGACAGAATGTCATATGTTTGCCGTTGATCATGCTCTGCTCAACCCGTTTCGTAAACAATGGCTCCGACCATGGCAGTTGATTCAGATGTGATAGAAAAGTACGATCATGAAATTCCACGGGATCGGATATAATTAATTTATCTACAAAGGAAAAAAACATATATTTAGTAAATATAATTTAAATTATAAAGTATATACGACTACTTACTTAGTAAGGACTCTTCGTAGAGAATGTCTTCTTCCGTCATATTAGCCCTATTGGGTTTTGTTTTTGCATATATGGTATTTGGTATATAGTCCAATACATTGCCATTGTAAAGGAATAAATTCTCAACGTCTGTCATATTCAGTGAATAGAATTGATAGACACCAAATGTTTCGAAAAATTCACGTACGGGTGTCATACTATAACAGCCGGCCAGATCAATGCGAGGATAATATGTAATGAAGGAGAGGCACATTTCTTGTTTGGTCGAATAGCCACCAAAGGTAGGACGTTTACGTGATGTAGTCTGCAATAAATAAAATAGAAATGTTGTTAATAGTGTTTAGGAAAAATTAAAGTGAGGTTATGTATATCTACTCTTGTACCCAATTAATGAGAGCTGTTAATTTTTTCACGAAATATGAATCTTTTTTATGAAAATATGAATCTTTAATGTTCACAATTATATCAGGAATGATATATATTAATGTTGAATTTTTTTCAGATAATCTTCTTTAAATTAATATATGTAAATATACAATTATTCAGTATTTTCCACCTGCTTACCTCATAAGCACAATCGGTTATAATATAATCACCAGGCAGGACAACAGTTTCATTTTCCAATTGTCTGACCTGCTGATAATTATAATCATAATTATCATCTTCAATGATTCGTGGCAATTCCTTGCCATTTCGTACGTGTCTTAACGTCATTTTACGGCCAGCACGATGTGAATGCAAAGTTCCGGAAATTATTTTAATACCATCTTCGGGAAACATCTGTTGGTGCAAACAAGAAAACAAAAAATAAATAAATAAATGACAAAGGTTATGGTTAAATTAAATAAAAACACTTACCACGTTCGAACAGGAGGGACCACATATACCAACATTACGATATAACTTTTGGCCGGGTGGTATTAATTGGGTGTCGGAAACGGAAACGCCTGAAATCATGACACCACCATCATGTTTTCTCAAGTGTTTGCTGTAGTGAATGCGGAATCCCGAATGGTCAGTGGCTGGAACGAAAAAATGCACAAACAAAATAAAACACGAAAATAAATTTTGCCATAATGAAATCAGAAAAAAATCAATTTATTGGTTTATGGTGTTACCTTGTAAAGCTAAGGGATTATCATAGTGTATTTCTAGCATATAGTATTTTGCTCCGGTTTTACCGCCAACTGGTATTCCAACATGGGGTGGTAAAAATTGACCTAAAAAACAAAATAACAAGAATCGATGATATATGAATGCACACCCATGCATGGAACTATCGTAACATAGTTGTAAACAAATTGATTTGTTCGTCTGCCATGCCATGCCATAACAACTAACCTGTGGAGCCAATTGACCAAACGGCAACTGGTGTAATACATGCATCCCAATCGCGTGGCGTCAATAAATTGCTATTGCAAACCGCACCGCTGCTCTTTACCCACACATCCCATGAAGCCGGATCAGAGCCAGGATATGATTTAGTAGAGCATTCGAACAATGTCATGTGGTGTACTAACGGTTGTGCTGATACACTGCAAAAGGGTAAACGAAATAAATTGGAAATATGAAAATTAATAAATTATTATTTTATGGAATGACGTGAATGGAAATAAATTTTGAAAATAAATTAACTCATTCAGTGAGAGATAGAATGCAATCTAGATATGAAGATTTAGTGGGGAAGCGGTTAAATAGATTGATGAATCGTATATTTTCTAAGATCAAATGTGGTAAGTGGAAAATGATGTACACGATAAAGAATGAAAAAATATTGCTATAATGAACAAATGGAATATTTTCTAGGATTATGACTGCATTGTATTTAACAAAAGAACGAGGTCATAATTTATGTATTAATTTATAGAAAACAAAAAAATTATAAAGTGGATTCAAAGTCTTAATTGAATAAAGGGATTAAAATAGTACCAAAGGCATCTTAATACTAATTGAATAAAAGTTTTAAAATAGCACGAAAGGTCTTTTCTAGGAAAATGTATAAAATTATGAAAGATTATGCAGTAAAATTGTAGTTTCTATTATCTTATTGTCACCTATTCTAACCAAACAAACATAGACCAAATGATTTATGATGAAATTGTCATTGTACAACCAATTATCATTGTTCTCCAACCATATCGTCCATATAAAATACGGACGTAATATCATGCAAACGACATTTATGTATGTAGATTACTCAGCATTACGTTCATAGATGTTTTTGAATATCATGTCTATTGTTTTGACAGATGCTTAAATAATAGAAAAAAGGGTGTAGACAACCATAATAAAGCGCCAAACTGTCAATAAAGATGACATAGAATCTTTTTGTGTGTTTCTTCTCTACAAAATATTTGCCAAACACGTCAAATTGATGCAAAGGACGACATGCATGTCATTTTCAAATAACACATACCTTGCTCGTGTCAATAATGCTTCGTAACCAATAATATGATGTTTTTCGGTTAGACTGGGTGCCTTAATGATTTTACACCAATACAATGTGTCCATGGATGAGTCTATGGTAACCTGTAATGAAGACAAAAATTGAGAAAAAACATTAAAAAAGAAAATAAAAAATTAATAAGTGGCACTTACGTTTTGCACGGTAACATCCCATTTTTGTGTATCCAATTGATGTCTTGAGGTAGTTGATGATGACGATGAGCTGCCATGATTTTTACGAAACATGGGTCCAAGCAAATGTAATGGTTTGAAACCACGATTTTTACCATGACCCTTTAAATTGCCGTGTATGGGATCGGTGTCACCAAAAGCCCAGAGAACTTTTATTGTATCGGTCTGCAAGGAAAATAAAATAATAAAATTTTGTTTAAAAAAGTCATAATTAATTATTAAAAAATAATAGTTGTGACAGTGATTTTTGTAGTAAAGTTTGAACACGTTGAACGGTTACTATTAGGCAGCATGTACCCCGTTATGATTTGTAGGGTTCTATATATTTAGGCTAATTATGGCCACTCTGCCTTTGAATTAATTGTATTATGCTTATTCAGGTCTTGTGAAAACTACTAAAGGACCCAACTTATAAAATTTACTTAATTGACATTATTAGTTTTGTTAGCCGATGGCAAATATTCCTATAGAGTGTGATATATGGAAAAAAGTGTTATCGTAGTAAAAAATAGTAGATTCTTGCAGTACGGGAACAGACCGAAAGTTTAAGTGATCGTTTAAAACCTGTAATCGATATCAAAACTAAGTGACGTTTATCTCCACTAAATTATCGTTCTCTCTCAAAGATCCAGTGAGGAAATATCACACTCCGTTGTATACAGTTAATCGTAAACAAATTCTTGCAAAAATAAATTGATTTACAGCATCCTCATTATGTCTAAAATAAATGGTAAAATTTATAGTTTAATAAATTTAAATGTACAAAAAACATTTATTTACAAAAATTAATCGAATTTCTGTATTTTGCTATAGCTCTTACATGCGTCCAACAAAATGACATCTGTTCGTTGCGCATTGTCTGCACCATGGCTGGTGATAAAAAACATGAATTGGAAGAAGTTGATTGTTATGGCAATACGGCCCTATTAAAAGCATGTTACCTGGGTAAATTGGAGGCGGCCATAACCCTTTTACAATTTGGTGCCAATGTCAGAGCTGTTAACCATTTTGGTAAGACGGGGAAATTGAGCGCATGTGGGCGGCAAATAACGAACAATATGAATTCTCTATTAACGTACAGGACAAAATGCTTTGACCTTGGCCACATGTTCGGGTAATATGGATTTAATACGTGAATTGTTGCGCTATTGTACGTACAAAGAATTTAATAATAGCACCCTGACACCGGCATTGTGTGTGGCCACAATGCGACAAAATTGGACTTTGGTGAAATTCTATAAAGATTTAGATAATCACAACAGTGAAGATATACAGACGGCTCATGGTATGTAATCCCCGGCAAAAGGATTGTAATAAATTTTCAACTGATAAGGCTTTTTGTTATGGGGATTTTCTTTTATTTTTGTTTTTTTGTACAGGTTTAAATTGTGAGGATCTGATGTCGTTCTTTAGTCTGCGTAAACCTGTGGCCACAAAACAATTTAAGACCATACATGTTTAATATTTTTTTATATTGTGTTCTTTTTTCGTTAACTTTTTTATGTTTTTTTTCGTATTTAGTTTAAATAAATTAACTTTTTTAAATGCAATCGGTGTGGTTGTTTACTTACCCCTAATGGAATATCGTAGGGATCACATGTCTCGATTTGCCTATAGAATTCAACCTGAGTGTGAGTGCTATTTTGAAAGCCATCCAAAACTATATAATTTTGGGTATCATCTTGTATGGGCGCAGCATTACTTTCAGTAAAAGAACCATGACAATCCTGAAAAAAAAAAACAGAAAAAATATATGAGGTAAAACGGCATATACATTAGAACTTTTTACCGGGTTAACCTACTTTATGAGGCTTTATTTAACATATATGCAAAGGAATTGACAATTGAAACCTACTGGGTTAACCTAATCCTGTACAATGTAAACGTACTATTAGTATTTGCAAATTTTGATACTTTTCGACTAACTAATAAATATCTTATATTTGAAATATATAGGTAAATAAACATGAATTGCTGAAAAGTGTCTGTACAAATATTTCGACCCATTAAGACCTGAAGACATAAAACATGTCGGATATTTAAAAATATATATGCAATTTTATATTCCATTGCAACTCATTGAAACCTTCCTCGGAGACCCAAAATTTTTTGAAACTACCACAGGGATCCCAATCTTTGAAATAGAGTTCTGACATTTTTAATCCTTTGAGCCCCGAATTTTTTCCGCAATCTTAAAACAAATTTCTGTTCACAAATTTGACATCGCTACATCCTTGCATTCGGGAGATACAGTACATTCAAATTAATGTCCAATATCAAGAAAATCAAATGCAAAATCGGCAGAAAAATCATTTTAATCTATTCTCTATATTCATTTTTACCAGAATCAATAGTAATTCTGATAGCAGAGTTCGTACAATTTGAATACGAAGCGATTTAAATAATTTGGACTGTACACACAAATTAGTACTGTACACAAATTTACCCTCTTCTCTATACTGAAAAGCTCATAACAAAATCCATAATCAGGTCTTGACATATGGAATCCAAATAATATATATCTACTAGCTGCATATTAAATATAAGCTCTAAAACATTTTGTTGCCTGTGGGCAACATGGGCCACAAAGGGTTAACATACATTTGTGCCACGTATGATTAGCCAATATTCGGTATTTTGCAAACGTAATTATTAATTAAGCCAACTATGTTAATTTAGCTAGAATGGGAAAGTGACCTGAACATAAATAATTATGACACCAACTCCACACGTGCTCAAATAACACACATTTCACAAGTAACATCGACAAATGACGCACTTTATCATACTAGAATCCTTCAACCCCCATTTTTCAATATTTTCTTTTTAGAAATTCTCAAAAATATATTTCAATCGTTAGTGTAAATATTAATAACAATTGTTAATCCTTTGACAAAATGCCTCAACATATCACACCTCCAACACACATCGCCGCTAAGATTTATTTATTAGGTCTTTAAAACCAGCCAACATCATTTATCTACAAAAGTCTTTTGGGTATAGTAGTGGTAGCGAATATCGTTATGAGTGTGTGTTTTTGACATTGGTGTAAAATTTTTCATTTTTAATAAAAATTTCTTAAAAAAACTCCTTTTGAATTTTCAAACACAAATGTATATTTATCACATGGCATATCCTCATGGAAGAAGAAAGGAAAAAATTCCCACATGCCGAAGTGACATGGTTTTTTTGTCATAGTCATTTTTTGTATTCCACCCGCCAGCTCACTCCTTCTTCTTTGTTGTTGTGTCGAGTTTAGTTTCACTGGCATGGGACAATAAAACAATAATTCAAACTGTCACCTGATGAGACATAAGAAATGTAATAAAAAAGTCTAAGCACCAAAGACAATGATTAAGAATGAAGGGGCTCACAACAATGGCAACAAAGCAAAGGCAGTGTTACAAATATATGTACGTGTATGAGAAGTGAGAGAATTATACAAGAAATCAACTTAAACGGGCTTTTCAAAATCAGAAAAAGAATGAAGAAAAATTGAATAAAAAAGAATGTGAGTAATATGATGAACAGTTTACTGAACAACCAACCCATTTTACAGAACATTACGAGACCAGAATGTTTCGTTGATGTTATTGTTGTTGTAAACACTTACAACGTTGACGTCCAACATCATCAACATATCATGTGAATAGAATTAATTTAATGGATTCAAATTGTATTGTGAAGGCATATTAATATACATACATATATATTCACACATAACTACTTTAAAAAAGGCCTTACAGTAGCTAAAAAATATTGGTGGCATATTTAGGCGGATTTAATGCACCATTTCACTGTAACGGGAAATCTAAGAATACTAATAGCATTTTTATGTAGTTATTTGTGTGATTTTCATTAAAATCTATTTAAAATGTTTGTGGACCACTGTCAAAATCATGCTTAACCACCAGCTTCCCATAAATAGGAATTCAATTATTGTTTAGGTTTTGATACCTGCCGAATTGATTGAAATTTGAAAACCACCACATTTTAACAACACGTACGCCAGAATTTATTAGATTGCCCTTTATTCGGTCGAAATAGTTTGGAAAATTTATAATTAACAAATGCTCAGCTGGTGGTAGTTAACGCATCGATGTAAAATAAGGAGATTAATTAAAAGTCTTATTGGACTATATTGGGTAAATATTAAAACAATAAAAGATTGAGCTAAAATTCCTTACATAGGCAGTGCATTAGCCATCAGAAGGTGAAATACACTTCAAAGGATCCATTAAAAATTCACATCATTTATTCGAGGTTTTAAGGAGCTAGTTGGAAACCCATTTTTATTTGCTTATAATTTGAAAATGAATGTACAAAGTTCCCGATCACCCAAAATAGTTTAACACCACCGAGACAAGAGAAAGGGGACTTGTAGACCCATCATAGCCACAAAGTTAATCTCTCGATAGCCCTTAATTATAACAATGCCGATAACTGATAATCAAATGCCTGTTGGAAAATGTTGTGGTAAACTGATAACGAATCTAGATTCAAATTCTTGGAGCAAATTTTACTCCCTCAAAACTTTTAACATTTCTGACAAGTTTTCTAGCAGTTCATCGTTAAATCAGATCCATCGTTAACGTGGCTGAAAATGTATAATATTATAAAATAATAAATGAGACAAACAATTGTCACACTTTCATAAAACATCATATAAGATGTGAGTATGATATGTACTATGTATGAATATTTGTATGCGTACGAATGAATAGTGTTCATATGTATAAAGGTGACGTACGAACGACAAATTATGATGACAAATTTTGTTACATTTCTTTTGTAGTTCGATTTGCCACATATCACATGTTTGGTGTTATCTTGTGTGACACAAGGACTCCCAAGGAGAACAGCAGCAGCATCATCATCATCAACAACAACATGAAAAAATATGGTTACAAACCAACGGAGTAAATATATACATACGTACATATGTTTTCTTTGAATACGACAAAGTGTAGAGAATCACATAAGACCCACACAGGGAGGGGGTCCTTGTTTATTTTACATCATTAAAAGCATTTGACTATAAAAGACAGCTGTCAATCAACATTTTGGTTAAGACTGAAACTGAAAGCCGAGAATAAAACGAAAAAACAACAACATGATGTTGAGATTTATGTAAATCTGAAGAGTAATAAAAAGCAGTGATTTTAAACAAAAGTACATAACAAAGTATTTATTTAGTTAAGCTCTTGAACTCAAAAGCCCCACTATTGTCTCGCCCTCACCTTCTTGAATTATAATTAATGATATAAATATTTTTCTAATTACACTTTTTCTTCAAAACTGTTGCCAATTATCCATTGTTTAGCCCTATTATCATTGTATTAGCTTATCAAAGGATTTATATTCATTTCCAATTTCAAATGAACACTGAACAAAAAGTTAGTTTCTGTGAAGAGGTATTATCCTTTTATTTTTGGGGGGGATAACAAAAAGAAAAGATAATAAAAAGGTTTCAATAAATTCTTGTTGTAAAGTTGTTCAACTCCCTTTATTATTATTGTTAAATGAAATTTTCATGAAAAATTTTCTTTTGAAAGCAACAAGGAGTAGGGGAAATCTTAAAAATGTAAAAAATAAAAAGTCAAAATCAAGGAGGGTTGCAGCTGAAACTTTAGCATTTGCTAAGAAGTTTTTATTCATAGGACTTTACAACACCAGTCAGCCATTTTGCACCTTTTTAAAAAATCAAATCAAATTAGTGTGTAAGAACAAAGAAACAAATTTGATTGATTGCTGGAAACCATATCAATGCCTAAAAGCAGACAATAAATTCGTTTTTGTTAAATAAATGAGTTTGTTAGGAATTTTGACAAAAAAAAAAAAAAAAAAAAAAAAAAAATGGAGCCGGTGGGGGGAAATGTAATTAAACCAATTAATTATATGAATCTGATTAGATGTTATAATATTGGTGAGTGAGGGGATGCAACATTTCGACTGTCTAATGCTGTAGGCGTGAAATTAAAGTCAGTTCATAAATGAATAGGTGCTACAAATTATTCTTTTTAATTCTTGTTCAGCGTTTTTTATATTTTGGTTAAAGAAAATAAAGTGTAATAAAAAATGGGTTTAATGAGAAACGGAGTCTTTAGAAACTCAATACCCTTTCGTAAAAAATAAGTACCGATGCAGGTGCTGGGGGAGAAAGTAAGAATTCGTTCAACTGAAGTGTGAGTGCTAATTGGATGTTCCATATTTCAGTTTAAGGCCAGGGTTTCGAAGTCGGACTCGACAAAGTAACACGGCACTTAGGTTATGTTTTGAAAAATGTCGCCTTCCAAAAAATGATTTGGGATTATGGTGTGGAATGAGTGAAGTTTAGGTGAGTCGAACTATTTATATCCTCCTCCATAGCGTGATGAAGCTTCGATAATATTATAGGGATTATATTGTGGATATGTACCACATGTACCAAAATAGAAGAAACGTGTATCGGCATTTTAAAAGTATACCTTGGAAGGTAACCTAAAGAGGCGTGGCAATATTTCCCGTTTCCAAGACATTTGAAAATATTCGGATTAAAATTTTTCGAAATCCTTGCATTTTATGTATATGGTGTCTTTGGCAATATTACTGATATTAATGTGAGGAATATTTTTGGCTGATACGAGTCAGTAAGGGCGGTATTTTCGGTTCTCTTTTCCAGAAATAATAGAAACGTTGTTATAGCATGTCATAATAAATTATATAGGTTGGTATATTCTGCTACAAC